GTGTGTGTGTGTGTGTGTGTGTGTGTGTGTGTGTGTGTGTGTGTGTGGTGTATGAGCATGCATGGATGACATGGGGAATGGGGCATGCCGGTGTTCAGTGTCCAGAAGTGACAAATACACAGGATGTCCAGGAGCTGTGGCCAAGTGGCAGTCTGCAAAGATGCTCACCCTGTGTTCTGTTGCTCTGATTCTTCAGGCCGCGACTTGGCAAGCACGACCCTCCCTGGGTACCCTCCGCACGTCCCCCCCGCTGGACAGGGCAGCTACTCTGCACCGACGCTGACAGGGATGGTGCCTGGTGAGTTTGCACTGTCGGCATCTCCGCGGCAGGCGGCAGATGGGGTTGCTGTGGGAGGGCACCCCCTGCCCCAAAGCAGCCAGGTGGCCTCCGTGCTTCTGAGAAGTCGACCTGAATAAGTCAGCAGAGGTTGGCCCAGCCCCTTCTGCAGCTGGGTGTGCAGTGGGGCCAGAGAGCTGTGGTTGCACTGGGGAGGGCACTGGGGAAGAGGTCCTTGTGTGACACTTAAGAAGTCCCTTGTCAGCCAGACTGGACGCTAGAACCCAGAGGGGCGCAGGGCCAGCTAGTGGGGCACTTCCCTAACCTTCCTTCCCTCCCCCAACTTCTCCTTTACTCCCCAACCTGTATGACATGGACCACACAGAAGCCCCCAAGGTGCTCTTGGTGGCCTTGTCCCTTGAGTTTGAGCACAGTAAGTTTTCAAGGCAGACAGGTTGCTGACTACCGAGTTTGTCGTTTGATGCTAAACTGAACACCATTAAAACTTGTTCCCCAGTTCTGACACCAAGAGCAAAGATCACCGTTCCTTCAGAGTTCCCTTCCCTCCCCATCCCACCCATTCTGTGGACCAGGGTGAGTCTACAAGACCAAGGGGCTCAGTCCTTTACTCTGGAGGTCCACCCAGACGAGCTGAGCTTCGGGCTCTTCCTTGGGGCTATCCTGTTGAAGGTGTCCTAGTGGCCAGTTTGTAAACCCCAGGGCGTGAACTCTTGGTGGGGACTTGAATAAGCTGGAGTGTAATGCAAGTATCCTGCAGGTATATAAGGCTTCGTGTGTGTGCGTGCGTGTGTGTATGTGTGTGTGTGTGTGTGTGTGTGTGTGTGTGTGTGAGAGAGAGAGAGAGAGAGAGAGAGGCTTCACGTGGCAACAAGTGGAGCAGGTGAGGGCACAAGCAAGTGGGGTTCCCACACTGCACACCCTGGCACAGAATGCCAAGGAGCCCCAGAATTCAAAATTTCATCCTGGCCTAGCTGTGTGCGCAGTGCATTTAACAAGGTAGGAGGACGAAGCATATTTCATTTAACGGTTTGTTAGCTTGATTTATGCCTTTTAAATATGAGACATATGGGAAATGGCCTCTGTGAACACTCTTGTCCTGGGCCTTGCCAACACCAGGGAGGCCTGCCAGGTTGCACTGCAAAAGCTTTGCCTTATCTGCGGCAAGGATGGCCCGGTGGCAGCAAGGATGCCAGAGAGATGCAGGGTACAGGCTGAGGTGGTACGCACCACCACCTCACTCTTGGGCTCCTCATTGCCCAGCCTTTAGCAGTTAGGGTCACAGACCACACCCAAGAATGCCCCCTCACATTTATGTGGTGCTTTGTAACGAGCAAACTCCTCTCTCTGTGCTTAGAACAGCTCTGTCAGGGGGGCTGGCTCGAGGGTGTAACCGGTTCTCTAAATGGCTGGGACCCAAAGAAGTTAGCAGACTCCACGAAGCTGCCATTGAATGTGGCCCCAGCAAGGGGTGCTGCGCTGCCTGTAGGCTCTCTAAGCAGGGATTGCTGCAGTAGCCCCGAGTCCTGGGGCAGTTAGAGCTGGCGAAGATTACACCACCCCGACGGCCCTCCCAGAAACCGTCCCCTTAGCCCAGAGACCAAGTTGAGAAGCCAAACTTTCTCTGGCTTACCTAAACAGGACAGCTCCCGGACCCTGTCATTCCACCAGCCCTAGTTACCAGGCCCCCCACACAAATGGCTATGGGCCTGGCAGAGGCCAGAGCAGGATGGCAGGGCAGCTGCTTCTCGTCCAGTAGGGATGGCAGCAGGAATCACACAGCCGTGCAAAGGCACAGTCTCCAAGTCTCCTGCCTGGGAACACAGGAACTCTGGGACCCAGTCCCCTACCACAGGATTAAAGAGAGGAAATGAGAACTATAGTTGGGGAGCCTGCTGACCAGGACCCTGAATTTTTCCTTCTCTGCATCATCTCTCCCCTGATCCTGTCCCTGCTCCTCTTCCTCCTCCTGCCTAACTCTGAGCTTTCTCTTTTCCCACACCCACAGCACTTACTATGCCAGACAAAGACAGCTTAGTTCTTGATCCTCAGCATCCTATCTACTGTCGTGTCCTTTTTCTACATTGTCTCCAAACCGGTTTCTTGTATGGCCTGTGCCCTAGCACAGATGGCATTGCCTTTTAGCAGAGCAGTGGTCTGGCTACCCCCCATGTTTAGCCAAGGTCTGCCCTAGCTTGCTACGTGGGTTCTTCTCCCAGCCCTCCCTGTCACCCAGTCAATCACTCCTACCTGTCGGTGATCTTCAGTCCACGCCCTTGACTGGACCTCTTGGTCCCGCCTTGGTCTGTTGCAATCCAGCCGCACTCTTCAGGCCTGAGCACAAACATCACTACTCCACAAGCCTTCCAGGAGGGTCCCACCTGGGGCTGGGGCTTTGTGTGCCATCAGCCATGTGGCGCATGCTGTTCTCACTGGAACCTCCTAAGCCTGGGGGCCATCAGGGCACCAGCAGGCTCTAGGTGTTCTCTGAGAGGGTTGCCTAGAGGACAGAGGCAAGGCAAAGCAGAGAGGCCTGTGTTTTAATTTCCCGTGACAAATGGAAGAAAAAAAATCCCAAGGGCAGTGCTCAGAATGATGAGAACATTCTTCTCGTTCCTGTAACAAATGTAAAATCAGTATCACTGGGCCGCAATGCTGGTGCTGGCCCAGTCTTACTCCCTGGGAAGCGGCTGTCCCTCTCCTCCCTTGGCCAGCTTCTTCCTTGCTGGAGCTGCATCACCCCAAGGCCAAGTCGCCACATCACCCTTCTCTTCTCTCCAGTAAGGGCACTTGAACACTTGGGGCTCATGTGGGTAATCAAGGGAATTCATAGCTCAAGTTCCCAACTTAATCACATCTGTCAACTTCTCTCGGCATTTCCTCGTCAGGTTCTAAGAACCAGGCTGTGGCTACCCTGTGGTCCGTTAGAGGGCTTTGAGCTTGCATTTGTTCAGATTTCTGCTGCTTAACCTCTCAGGTTTCTAAGCCCACAAGGTATTTACTAGATGAGCTGCGCTTACCACAGCCATGAAGGGCCTGCTCGCATGTTCTGAGAAAAGAGTTGACAAGACTCCGGGGAAGCTGTTATCTGGTTTCGCGGCTCTGAGGTAGCCACACCAGGATGAATGGTTCTGCTGTGTGAATCAGTCTCTCATACTTGCCATGGGCCTGCAGTGCAATCTGCAGGGAAACCGGAAACCCCATGGCTCTTTGCCTCCATGGGTTTTAGGAAACGCTTGGCTGTCACTATTTCCCACACGTAAGTGGAGCCTTTCATTTATAACATTAGCTTTCAGGACACACAGAGGAGGGCTTGCCTCTAGGGCACACCCGGGCAGCTGATCTTCGGGGTGTGAAAAAAAATGCCTAATGTGTTCTGTATGGGGTGGCAGCTTGTTGGCATGTCCTGCATCCGGGCCCTGGTGTTGTTGAGGTACTATCTGCCCTTCCTCCTCCGGGGCATCTTCGTGTCTGCAGAGCATGGCATCCAATTCTCTGAGGTGTCTGCAGACCCTTTGCAGACCAGTTATATGAGGGAAAGCAAAGCCTGCATATTATCAGCCTAGGGTAGAGACAGTTTTCAGTTTTTATTTTCATCAAGTCTCAGCAAATGCCAAAAGTTTTGCACCAAAGATTCCACAGTATGTTGATCGGTGAGTAAGTACCAGATGCCTGCCTGAAGATATTTGTGCAACCTAACAGATATTGACATGGCATTTGGAGCTCTTAAACACCCTGGACTGTGGGGAGGGGAGCTCATCGCACTTTGGCTTCAGTGAGTCTGAAAACAAGGAAAGCTTCTTTGAGAATCATCCAAGGGATCAGGGGCCCCTTCCCCAGCCCCTCACTTGGCTCCTGCTTTGGAGCTTTAGGCAAAGGTACCAACAGTGGGAAGATGACAGTGTCCTCCTCTTCCCTGCACTGCGGCAGATGCAGAAGCGGGTAGACGGGAGGCCTGTCAGAGCAATATGTGCAAAGGACCATGGTCCATCCCTGTGGTCCCTACAGTCCCGGGCACTCTGGTAGTCCAGGACTGGGAGACAGTACTTCTAAAAGCCTTGCTTTTAAGTTGCCCACTGAAATAACAGTTTTTAGTCTCTTGATGAGGTGGTAGATGAGGACAAGGGGCAAAAGAGGCATATGGAACCAGAAGGGAAGTCTGGAGCAAGCTGCCAGGGTGGGGCAGGGGCAGCCTGTGCTTTGTCCCAGTGATGAGGGACCAGCTCCTTGGACTTCAGCCCCTGAGGCTTCCGCAGCTCCTCTCTGCCAGCCTGGCTGGCTCATTCACACCTTTCTGTTTCCCTACACAGACAAGTCTTCTCCAGGTCTTAAGTGTATTAACTTCCTGCTGCAGCCATAACAAACTGCCACAACCCAGTGACTTGAAAGAATGGAAACGTTTTCTCTTCCAGTTCTTGAAGTCAGAAGCCCGAAACAGTCCACCTGGGCTGAAGTCAGGGTGTTGACGGCGTTGTGTTTCTTTTGGACATTTTAGGGGGAGCCTGTTTTCTTTCCTTTGCTAAATTGTGGATGCCGTGAGCGTCCCTTGGCCTGCAGGCCCATTGTTTCGTGTTTAAGGTTGGCAGCGTTGCACACCTCACATGGCGCTGCCCTCCCTCTCTCCCTATCTTCCTCTTCTCCTAGGAGGACTACAGCACGTACCTCTGTCTTAGCACTCAGCCCAGGCTTTATCTTCAGGACGGTTCATCAGCAGCCTTAATTCTTCGTCTCTTAAGCCTTCACTTCTCTCTGCTATAGAATCCTACGTAGCTGTGTGCCCTGGGATTAGGATGTCAGGAGAGAAAGGATTGACTAACCGTGACTCTGAGTTCTGCTAGCCAGGTGTGAGGGTGAGGGCTGGGACCTGGCAGGAGGTGGGCAAGTTTAGCCAAGGGTTCCTGTGTGCTCTGTCATGTGTCACTCATGGGGGCAAAATGCATTCTGCACAGATGATGCAGGGGGAACGCTTTATCCCCACCCCGTGTAAAGACCCTTCCCACAAT